GCTCTGGGCAGATTCAGTGAGAACAGCACCATCTACTGGCCTGGCATATGTACTACAGCGTCTCCAGCGCTTTCGAACGGCAATGGCCGTGGCTGTCTCCTCCTGATTGGTGGAGTTGTCCCAATAGCCGTAGCGCCACCGTCCTGACATCAGGACAGTGTTCAAATCTGGATCTCTCTGTGTTAACATTTAAAGTTGGTGAGCCATTAATTGCACTAACATCCTCATGAAGCTGACTGAGAGAAGCCCAGAGTGTGCAAAGCTGCCATCAAAGCAAAAGGGGGCTGCTTTGAAGAATCTAGAATAAAAATCACACTTTTTTTGTTAACTAGATAATTCCATATGTGTTCTTTCATAGATTTGATGTCTTCAGTATTAATCTACAAAGTAGAAACACATTAAAATAAACAAACATTGAATGAGAAGGTGTCCAAACTTTTGACTGTACTGTATATTTTAATATTGAGCAGGTTCCCTCATCTATAATCATTTATACAAGCGCAACTTTAAACATGTACAGCAGTAAAATGCAACATACAAAGTAATGAAGAAACATCATAAATGAAACACTGACAGGGAACATTTTACTGCACCGTCATTACTATGACATGAGAAGGTGCCGTCAAATGTTCTGATAATACTTGCATACTTTTACTTAAATAAGGTTTGACTTAGGGCTGTGCAATTAATCGTATTTGAATCTCTATTACGATTTTGGCTTGCAACGATTATGAAAACAACGTAATCGGAAAAAAAAACGATTATTTTGCTTCATTCCCTTTCGCAATGATGCTCTCAATGTGTCTTGCGTTATACATCCTGCCCCCCACCCACCCCCTAAAAGCCCTCTCAGCCAGGTTGTGTTGTGACTTGCAGTCTGTTTAATAAATCCATATAAACACATCACAAGGGAAGCTTTAGTTGCCGTGTCTTTATCCTCCGGTCTCTAGCGTACAGTCAACTTTTACTAACTATCAATATTGACCAGAAATAATCCTGATTATGATTTTTGCCATAATCGAGCAGCTAGTTTGAATGCAGGATTTTAATTTGTAACACAGTATTTTCATTCTATAATGTAGGCGTAGTCACTACGTTCACAGATACACTACGCCGTAGTGTATCTGTGAACAATCCCAAATACAATTCATTGTTTACATTGCGGCTAGTGCTAAACCAGAAGAAAAAAACCTTTTTCATTTTTAACTGTAAGTGGAAAGGGGCTGGGCTACATGAGGTGAATTGAGCCAACATAATTAGACCATTTTTTCTGACTGTGTTGTGGGGGGCAATTCAGCACTCACAGAAGGAAAGAATAAAACGGAGAGGAATCAATAAAAAACAAACACAGATATTGTTGATTCATTATTATTTCGTTGTCAACAATCAATAATAATGAGGTAACATTACTTTGCACACAACCAGTCAATAGTGGTAATGCTCCAACGAGTACAAGTCTTTCAGATCAAATATAGCAGCTGTAATGAACGCACACACAATTTCCCTTACATTAGCTAACACACCCACATATGTTCCAGATGTCGAAAGGTCATTATCTCATCTCTTTAGGTGGTTCATACCCTGTCAGGATATGAACCACCTGACTAACAACACTTAACTGTATTATCCTGAGGAGGGCCTCTTTGCACTTCCGCTCACCCCTAATAATTGCGGAAGAGACGATGGGCCTCTCTTCTCTGGAAACTGTAATTCAATAGCCGCGTTCACACCAAGTACTTTCCTGTACTTAGTTCCGGCACTAAGAGCCCCGGCGCTTTTAACCCCAGGGCACTTAGTACAGATCGCGTTCACACCGGAGTACTTTTCCCTGAGGGAAGATTACGCAAATGAGCCGCTGACGTCACTTCTTCTTCTTCTGCTTTGGCTTTACTGGCAGGCCACAAACCACTTCACGGCGAGTACAGTAGGTGGCGGTATGCACCTTAAAGTTGTTTGCAATCCGCTACAAAAACAAGAGAAGAAGAAGAAAAACTTCCCGCGTATACTGCGACGCCCACCCACTCGCTGTACATTAGGCGTCTGTTGTTTACCTTCCGACCTCAGACATGATGGAGATGGAGTCGACTGAAGTTGTGCTGTTTGTGCTCATGTTATACAGCTTTGTAACTGAGTTAATGCAGCCTGAGCAACTTGCGTACAATAACAAAACAAGCCGAGCACAAGTGGTGGTGGAGAACGCTTTTGGCAGACTGAAAGGCAGGTGGCGGTGCTTGATGAAAAGAAACGACTGCAAGATGGACAAGATCAAAATTTAGGTGGCAGCATGTTGCATATTACATAACCTTTGTGAAAGTAATGATGAGTACAGGGACGAATGGACTGCCTTACCGGCGACCCAGCTTTATGAGGCATCTGAACAGCGTGTAAATTGTAAACATTTTGACAATAAAGCTGATCTTTTGTACAGTGCTTTTGTTTCTCTTTTATTTTCCAGTCAAGACAGGCAACATTACAATAGTGTACAGTGTGGCAATATAATAACAATAAACTGTGCCAGGTGTGTTGTATGCACAGTAAATAGGCTCAGCAGCAAACCCACCGTTATTATTTATTATATATCTTCCTGAGACCCACTGCATCCGTCTGCCATAAACACTATGGAAACATACATGTTAGTTTCGGCCCATAGTGGACTCCATTTTGTGTTGTGTAAAATGGGGGGGGGGGGGAATTAAAGGTTTGCAAATCCCCATGTCCTCCTCAGAGGATAATCATAAAAACATTTAGTTTTAGGTCAAATAATATTTAAAATGATATCAATTATCATATTTGTGTATGTGCCCCTGCCATTCCTCCACAAGGTTGCAACATTGATGATAAATAAATGACAAATAAAGCTTTGCCAGTTTATAACCGATGAAACATGATGGTATCAGAATAATCACTTACATGTGATGTATAGGATGCTACACAGGTCACTAAAGATAAAGTGTCAGGAGAAATAAGCAAGCTACAGGATCTGTTTAACAGTAAATAGAAGTTCACATTTTTCATGTAGTTTTACAACATACTAGGAATGTGTTTTTTGTATTTTCACAAATAGAATTAAGGTTTCACAAATCTGAAACTGTGTTATAAAGAATCTTTTGACTCTCTGGGATAATCCAGTCCAGATTTGATGAGTCTAGGTATAGTGGTTTTAGACCAGGACCTGGTCTCATGTGGCCAGGATGCGAAAAAGCACTGAAATCTCTCTTTTTTTGTATTTTCACAAATAGAATTAAGGTTTCACAAATCTGAAACTGTGTTATAAAGAATGTTTAGCCTCTCTGGGATAATCCAGTCCAAATAAATCGGCTATGCAGCGATTTAAGAGGTTCAAACACGAAGGATTGTGCTTCATGTATGCTTGAACTTTGTTTAATGTTGTTGAGGCAAGTTTTCTTACCGGAAATCATGTGACCTCTAGCCCGGATGATTACAATGTTTGTGAGAGAGTAAAAAGGCGCGAACATTTGTAAATGCCGGTCTAGGCGAATACGTTTTCACGCTGTTTCATAATTGTACCAAGAAGGAAATAAACATGATTGTGAACATCAGTTCGATGCGTAACGTTCTTTCAAGACAAAGTTACAGTGTGTGTACCTTTGCATTTGGTTGCTGGTAAGGAGGACGACCAAGCGCTGTGATCTAGAATGCAAAGCTCGCTTGTTTCCAATCCTGAGAGTTGTCCAGCCTCGCCTGAAACAGACGATTAGTGCCATGAGTTAGTGAAGCAAATTACAGAAACACTGCACAGTTATTCACAAGTCAAAACGTTTTCATAGCGGCCGAGAATATCTAGCTAGCTAGATGTAGCTAGCTCGGAGCCGGTGTTAGCCTATTCAGCCTAGCATGGCTAGCTTGATCTACTGAGCAAATAAAAGTACATCTGAGACCATTATTGTGCAGATTAAAACCCCAGTGCATGTAGTTGATTTTACCTTCGTCGTGGTCGTCATCGTTGGCCACTGAATCCGCCGTTTGTAGTCCTGCCTGAGTTTCTTTATTTTTAGCCGGTGTGCCGTGGGGCTGTGCACGATTCCCAGGTCGAGTGAAAGCTACTGAACTGGCTTCAGTAGCATTCCCTGGGTCGCGTCCTCGGCGTAGATCTCCAGAAGCGCCGACACCTCCTCATCATTTCTTGATGCTTGCCATAACTGCTTTCAAAAACAACTCCGTCGGTGCGCTGGGTTTTTGTAGCGAGGAAAAACAATGGCGGCTCTACAAAACATTTTCACAGTTGTACGGGGCGTGGTTTGCAATTCGCCCAGCCAATCAGCACTGGGGCACTTTTCACCCACAGGAAAGTACGATCTCTCAGCGGGCTCTAAAAATGCGGGTAAAAGTTGCCGAGATTAAGTACGATTTTTGGAGTGAACGCGACATAAGGGGTACTAACGGAACTAAACGCGAAAAGTACGGTGAAAAGTACTCCGGTGTGAACGCGGCTATTAACATACCTAATTATATTGACTAGGTCCAAGACTGATATAACAGTGTGTTTCCTGTTTCCTGCAGACGTCCAGCTGCTGGTGGTGGTTAAAGAAGAGCCTCTCCCTGACCAGCAGAAGTGGAGCACCAGTCTGGACCAGGAGGACCCAGAGCCCCCCCCCACACATTAAGCAGGAACAGAAGGAACTCAGGATCAGTCAGGAGGGAGAGCAGCTTCAGGAGCTGGAGGAGGCTGATATCACCAAGTCCACTTTCACTCCTGACCCTGTGAAGAGTGAAGATGATGAAGAGAAACCTCAGTCCTCTCAGCCTCATCAAAGACAAACTGAACACATGGAAACAGAAGCTGATGGAGAGGACTGTGGAGGACTAGAACCAGCCAGGAGCTCAGATCCAGAGAGCAGTTTACAACCAAAGACTGAGGACGACACTGGAGACTCTTCTGAAGACACTGATGACTCTTCTGAACCTGACGCTGAACACAGTGCTGATTGGAAGGAGACCAGAGAACCTGCCTCAGGCTCAAACTCACTGAAAAATAGACAAGAATCTGTCAGTGATCCCCGACGTAGTGCTGAAAAGAAACCATTCAGCAGCTCAGTCTGTAAGAAAGCTTTTAGATATAGAAGACATCTAAATCCACACATGAGAATCCACACAGGAGAGAAACCCTTTTGCTGCTCAGTTTGTGAGAAAGCTTTTTCACAGCATGGAAATTTAAAGAAACACATGAGAATCCACACAGGAGAGAAACCATTCAAATGCTCAGTTTGTGAGAGAGCTTTTTCACAGAAGGAACATATAAAGGGACACATGAAAGTCCACACAGGAGAGAAACCACACAGCTGCTCAGTCTGTAAGAAAGCTTTTTCACTGAATATCAATTTAAAGAAACACATGAGAGTCCACACAGGAGAGAAACCACACAGCTGCTCAGTCTGTAAGAAAGCTTTTTCACTGAATATCAATTTAAAGAAACACATGAGAGTCCACACAGGAGAGAAACCATTCAAATGCTCAGTCTGTAAGAAAGCTTTTTCACAGAGTGGAAGTTTAAAGGAACACATGAGAATCCACACAGGAGAGAAACCATTCAAATGCTCAGTCTGTAAGAAAGCTTTTTCACAGCGTGGAAGTTTAAAGGCACACATGAGAGTCCACACACGAGAGGAAAAATACAGCTGCAATGTTTGTGACAAAATATTTAAAAGGCATGGTAATTTCAAAAGGCACAAGTGTGTTGGTCGTCAGTCCTCACAGCTTAATGAAATTCAAACAGGATAGCGGAGAGGCAGAGCCTCCAATCAGCAGCTCAGCTGAACACATGGGAACAGAAGCTGATGGAGAGAGCAATGAATAAGTCTGATGACAGTTCACACATGAGAGAAATGTGTCTGGCTGGATTAACATTGTTGCACAACATCCATATAAGACTTAAAGGAACTCCATCTTTATCAACATAAGTGGACAATATGTTTAATGTTTTTGTCATTCTGATGTATACGTTAACCACTGACTGTTGATGAACCATTTTATTTTGATTGAGGGCTCCAAGTTTCCGTATAGAGATATAGGATGATTTGATGCATTGTTCTTTATTTCTAGATGTTTTGTATCATTGCTATCCTGTTAATGAGCCCTGTTTTACATAAATGTACCTGTTATCGGAGTGTTTTTGCTTCTGTGACTGTAAGGGAATACATTTGTCTATTTTGTATCCTGATGACCTAATGCCGTTACATGTAATATGTTACTCCCTCAGCCTGTTTTCACCCATCTGCAACCGATTAGCTAATAATCACAAATGTTCATTTCTTTGACCCCTTGACTCGACTATTTCTTGTTTAATAATCGTTACATCTCCTCAGGACCAAGTTCCCGTGTTCTGCCTTTCACCTGCTGATCACCCACTGCTCATTTAAGGACTGACCTTTACAATGGACCAGCTAGTCTTATGGCGCATTTCCACCACATGGTCGGCCTCGGCCACGCTCGGTACTGCTTGGCCGCGTTGGGCCTTAACAGGGCCGGCTCACTTCATGCTGCGCTTCCATTACAGTTTAGGAACTGGGGTAGTTACTATAGTAACGCAGTGTAGGCGGAGCCGTGACGTCATCTTCAATGAGAACCCCAGAAAAACAACACAGCCGTTAGCTGTTAGCACTCAGAGATCACAGCTCCTCATATCTGTTCAGAAACTCGACAAAAGTTAAACAAGTACACACCACAGACTGCCTGTGTCATGGTGAATACAGTTGCTGCTTTATTTATGTCTGTATAGGCCGTTGTTGTGAGTGTGGACGGTCAGAGCATATACTGCGTTAGCTTAGCCAATCTCCATCTAGGAAACACGCATTTTAAAAGGTTTTTCGCCTGCCGTCTGTCTGCAAACTTGCCAAAGCATTAATTCATGGTTTTTACTAACCGGTATCAGTATGTTGTTACTTAGGCATCATTTTGAAACGTGTATTACAATTAAATCACGGTCAAATATGTCCATCTTGTTGTAGTTGTAGCCCCCTTGCCAGCGATCCTCTCTCTAGTTTAGCATACTCAGCCCGACTCAGCCCTGTTTGTTGGCCCCGATAGAACCACAATTTTGTCAGGCCAGAAAAGAGGTGAAAAAGTGGCCCCGGGCCGGGCCGTAACTAGGCCTAGTGGAAGCGCAACCAAAAACGGGCACGGCACGACACGGCACGCTTAAACCGCGCTCCGCGCCATGGTGGAAATGCGCCATTAGTGTCTTAATGCAAACGTTTTGTAAAGTGATGCTAGACCAAAGACGTGCTGTTGGGCTGTGTGCTCTCTGCAGGACGGGGTCTGGACTCAAACATTGTTTATGGTATGAGAGCTTCACTCTGTTTTTGTTGTCCAAACGATGCCAACAGAGCGATACGTCTTCTTTCCAGCAGATGGCATAAATGTTACATCATCCAGTTCAACTGTCATCCACATATTAGTGATTCAAAACAGCAATGTGTGAGATATGGCTAGTAATTGAGTCACAATGTCAACAGAATGTGAAGAGGTTACAGTCTTGCGGTTATGGCCAAGATGTTGTTTGTTGTTGTAAGAGATAATAGGGATTGATGCAGAAAAAACCCAGAAGATAGTCTGGATAGAGCCTTCAAAGAACCAGAAAGGCTTTTGAAGATTATCAGGGATATAGAAAGAATACAAATATTACAAATTATTATACTTTTTGCAGTGTTAACATCTAAATACCACATTTAAAAGTACTCATTAATTAATAAATCACATTTATGTTATAATTATGTATTTATCAATTTGTTCATCACCTTAATATTTAAGCTGATAAAGTTGGAGCTATTTTTATTAACATTATTGGCTATGCTGCTTGGTAGTTAATTTTTTGTTGAAATACGAAATAATTCACGAGTTGATTTTATTTTGTATAAAAATCTGAATCTATAAAATTAGCTGTAAAATACAATTGTGCCATAAAAAGTTCCATATTTTCCTCTGAGATATACTGTTGAGGTGTTAAGTAGCAGAAAACAATTATATAATAAACAATTAGGTATAGTATAAGTTCCTCGAGTAAATAATACAGCAATAGAAGTGTGTACATGTAGAAGAATATACCATTAATCGTCCCACAGAGGGGAAATGTACATTCTGCATTTCACCTATCCTAGTGTTAGGAGCAGTGGGCTGCCATATGTACGGCCCGGGTAGCAGTGTCGTCAAAGGTGCCTTGCTCAGGGACACATCGGTTGCACTTGGTCTTTCGGGGACTCGTACCGGTGACCTTCCGTTTCCCAAGCCAAGTCCCTATGGACTTCGGTGCTGGACGAAGTATTCCTGGATCACATCAGTTACCCATTGAGGATGTTTGAACCCAAGCCAATACAGTGCAGACTATGTTGTAAGTTTGGTCACAGGTCTTTGGTCTGTTGACATTGAACATTTATGAGTGCATATAGGTAATCACCGGGGCCCATTAGTTCAACACTTTTAATCCCTATCTGATCAAATCAGATTTGGATTTTGGGTAGTTCAAAACCAAAAAACAGGATTAGGATCACTTTGATATCCGATCAGATCAGGAAATCAAATCCAAGCTTTCATCTGGATCAAATCTTCAAATCGGGTAGTTCAAACCGACAACACAGGATTGGGATCAGTCTGATCCCAAAAAAATGGATTATCTTGATCCCACCAGAGGGGTGGATTTTGAGTGGATTACCAGAACAAAATGAACTGTACAATTTATTTAAAAATATGTTTCAATATAAATAAGATGGCAAAGTTTGTTACACAATGTTTAGCCTTCATGGCAAATCAATTTTATTTTTCAATTTCTGGTCACGTTTGTGGTGGCCTATTTTTTTTCCAACCAAATGTTGATGACATGACAGGATGATCCAGCTGCCTTTGAATTCATGTTTTGTTGTTACCCTAGTGGGAGTATTTCTTTTAATTACAATTCCATTATGATTTGATGTCCTTTATGTATTTAAAAATATAATTAGACACTATAGATGTCTCTGCAATGTGGTCTCTTGTCTTCCTTGTATTCATTTCATTTCATTTCAAACCTTTATTTATCCAGCTGTATCCCATTGAGATCATTGATCTCTTTTTCAAGGGAGACCTGCTCAAGTAGGTTCCACATGAAACATTAAAACATAAACAGAACAACAAAAAGGACATCATACAGCATCATTAAAGGGATTACAATTTACATAACTATCCACATGAACAGGTACCAACAGCTTCCGATTCAGTAGCATCCAACCGAGCTTTAAAAACATTTAGTGGCACCAGATTGCTCAGTTTCCATTTCAATTGCAGACTATTCCAAGACAGAGGAGCTGCGCATCTAAATGCTATCTTCCCTAAGACAGTCCTAGCAGTTGGCACATTTAATAAAACCACAGCATGCGATCTCAGGCAGCAGCCACTTACAATTCGCCGTATGATCAGGGAGCAGATGTAGGATGGAAGTTTCCCTAACATGGCTTTATATATAAAAATGTACCAGTGACTGAGCCTCCGTACAGTTAGTGAAAGGCAAACCAGCCCTTGCATACAGGGTACAGTGATGGGTTAATGCTTTACAGTTTGTCACAAATCTCAGTGCACTGTGATACGCAGCATCTAACTTGATCAGGCAATGGGCAGGTGCATTCATATAGATCAGATCACCATAGTCACCACAGTGACTAGCATTTTTCTGGCCTCGAGCGAGAAACAGGACTTGTTCCTGTAGAAGAAACCTAGCCTAACCCTCAGTTTTTTAAGCAGGTTATTGACATGACGTTTAAAAGTGAGACAGTCATCAAGCCAGATACCAAGGTATTTGTAACAGGTAACCACTTCAAGTTTTATTCCTTGCGTAGTTACAATATCTAAAAACAGGCTCTGGTGTCTTTTTAGCATTACCTTGGTTTTATCAACATTTAAAAGAAGCTTTAGTTCAGAGAGCTGAGCCTGAATAATGTTCAAAACAGCTTGCAATTCAACAACAGCCTCCTTAATGGAGGGACCTGCACAGTACATAACGGTATTGTCCGCATACAAATGTAAGGTTGCTCTATCGACATTTTCACCTAAACTATTGATGTAGATGGAGAATAAAAGTGGGCCTAAAACAGAACCTTGAGGAACACCATTAAATCAAATCAAATCAAATCAAGGTTTATTTATAAAGCACATTTAAAAGCGATTTTTGGTCGGGCCAAAGTGCTGTACATGTAATAACTACAATCACATAAAAACACATTTCTATAATCACAATAAAAGACAATAAATAAAACACAGGGAAAAGTCAGGAGTCGTGCTCCGCTCTGACTAAAAGGCCAGGGAGAAGAAGTGTGTCTTAAGAGTAGATTTAAAAACCCCTAGGGTCTGGGCCGACCTCACATGGAGGGGCAGAGTGTTCCAGAGCCTCGGTCCAGCTGCTGCGAAGGCTCGGTGCCCTCGGGTTTTGAGCCTGGTCTTGGGCACTATCAGCAACAGCTGGTCAGCATTAGTAATGTTTAACCACTCAGAAGACAGCCCATCAAAGTGAACACATTGGGACCTTTCAGAGAGGTAGTTCACAAACCACCCCACTGCATGGCTGGATATGCCAATACTGAGTAGCCTCTGCTTTAAGATGCGATGATCGACGGTATCAAACGCTTTGGAAAGGTCAATAAATAGAGCTGCACAACTCTGCTTATTATCTAAAATACTCGCCACATCATTCACCACTTTCATTGTGGCAGTGATGGTGCTATGTTGCTTTCTGAAGCCTGACTGATGTTTAGACAGGATGTCATTTGTACATAAAAACTCCTTTACCTGCTCACTCACTAGGCGTTCAAGAACCTTAGCCAGAACTGATCATTTAGAGATTGGCCTATAGTTATTTAATAAGGTGGCCTCCCCTCCTTTTAGTAGAGGCAGGACATACGCTGACTTCCACAATTTTGGAATTGCATTTGTGCTGAGGGAGAGGTTAAAAAGAGAAGTGAGAGGTGGAGCAATAAAATCTGCAGCTATCTTTAAAAAGAAAGGTTCTACGTTGTCCGGGCCGGCCGGTTTCTTAGGATATAGCTTAGATAATGCTTCATGAACAACATTAACAGTAAAAGGAGTAAAACTGAAAGGGTTTTCCAGACCACATTGTTCAGAGTCACAGACTGTGGTGTTCACAGAAGCAGAATTAGTCACAGAATCAATCAGAGAGCCACAGGACACAAAATGCTCATTAAAACAATTTAACATAGAAGCCCTGTCCGATATAGTGCCAGATGCTGTGGTAAGGCACGGAGGTAGCTCATTACGGATATCACCGGTGGATATTGAT